ATGAGAATGCACCAATTCAGTCACATCTTTAGTCTCCGTGTTGTAGTTCTCTTGCTCTTTCCACCTGCAGTTACTGTCTCCACTGAAGTGTTGAACCCTTTAAAGTCATCTGTGAAGATCAGAATCCATTTCTTTTAAACTTCTGATAATGTTGATATTTTAATCTCTTCCCATGAATCATGAATATTTTTTTTTAAGATTTTATTTATTTATTGGAGAGGGAGAGAGAGAGAGAATGAGAGGAGAGAGGTCAGCAGGAGAAGCAGACTCCCTGCTGAGCAGGGAGCCAGACGTGGTACTCATCCCGGGACTCCAGGATCATGACCTGAGCTGAAGGCAGTCGCTTAACCAAGTGAGCCACCCAGGTGCCCGAATCATGAATATTCTTTTTTTTTTTTTAAAGATTTTATTTATTTATTTGACAGAGAGAGATCACAGTAGACAGAGGCAGGTAGAGAGAGAGAGAGAGGGAAGCAGGCTCCCCGCTGAGCAGAGAGCCCGATGCGGGACTCGATCCCAGGACCCTGGGATCATGACCTGAGCCGAAGGCAGTGGCTTAACCCACTGAGCCACCCAGGCGCCCTGAATATTCTTGATAGTATCTAGAATGGTGAATCCTTTCCAGAGTTTTCAGTTTACATTGCCCAGATGTTCAGAGGAATCACTCTCTATATCCAAGCATATATACCTTTACAAAATACATTTTTTTAAAATGTTTATTTATTTGATAGAGATCACAAGGAGGCAGAGAGGCAGGCAGAGAGAGAGAGAGGAGGAAGCAGGCTCCCTGCCGAGAAGAGAGCCCGATGTGGGGCTCGATCCCAGGACCCTGGGATCATGACCTGAGCCGAAGGCAGAGGCTTTAACCCACTGAGCCACCCAGGTGCCCCCAAAATACATTTTTTTAATTATAAGACTTGAAAGTAAAAAAAAAATACTCTCATCCTTGGGCTGCAGAATGGATGTTGTATTCGCAGACATGAAAACAACAATATCTCGTCGTTCGTGTCCATTAGAGCTGTTGGGTAATCACGTGCATTGTCAGTGAGCAGTAGAATCTTTTTTCTGTGCAGTAGCTCTCAACAGTGGTCTCAAAATATTCAGTAAGCCATGTTAAACACATGTGCTGTCATCCAGCCTTTGTTGCTCTGGTTATAGAGCATAAGCCGAGTAGATTTAGCATAAATTCTAAGGGCTCTGGGATCCTTGGAATAATAAATGATGAACATGAGCTTCACCATGAAGTCACCAGCTGCATTGAGTCCCTAATATTGTGTCAGCCTGTTCTTTGAGGCTTTGAAGCCAAGCATTGCTTTCTCCTCTCTAGCTATGAAAGTCCTAGATGGCAACTTCTTCAAATATAAGGCTGTTTTATCTACACTGAAAATCTGCTGTTTGGTGTAGCCACCTTAATTATCTTAGGTCTTCTAGATAACTTGGCAGTAGCGTCTACGTCAGCACTTGCTGCTTTACCTTACCCTTTTATGTTATAGAGACTGCTTCTCAAACCACATGAACCAACGTCTGCTAGCCTCAAACTTTTCTTCTCTAGGTTCCTCACCTCTCTTCAGCCTTTGTAGAATTGAAGAGAGTTGGGGTCTTGCTCTGAATTAGGCTTTGGCTTAAGGGAATGTTGTGGCTGGCTTGATCTTCTGTCCAAACCACTTAAACTTTCTCCTTATCAGCAATAAAGCTGTTTAGTGTTATCATTCATGTGTTCACTGAAGTAACACTTTGAATTTCTTTCAAGAAGTTTTCCTTTGTGGGGCACCTGGGTGGTTCAGTCGTTAAGTGGCTGCTAAGTGGCTGCCTTCGGCTCGGGTCATGATCCCAGGATCCTGGGATCGAGTTCAGCGTTGGGCTTCTTGCTTAGCGGGGAAGCCTGCTTCTCCCTTTCCCACTCACCCTGCTTGTGTTCCCTCTCTCTGTGTCTCTGTCAAATAAATACATAAAATCTTTAAAAAAAAAAAAAAGTTTTCCTTTGCATTCACAACTTGATTGTTTGGCATAAGAAGCCTAGCTTTTGGGCTACCTTGGCTTTTAGCATGCCTTCCTCACTAAGTTTAATCATTTCTAGCTTTTGAAAAAGACTCTTCCTTTCACTTAGAAATGGTTGTTATTAATTGGCCTAATTTCAGTATTATTTTTGTCTCAGCGAATAGGGAGGTGCAAGGAGGGGCAGTTGGCCAGTTGGTAGAGCTGTTAGAGCACACACATTTATCGATTTAAGTTTGCCGTCTTCCATAGGTGAGATCTGTTGGGCCCAAAACAGTTACAACAAGTAACTTAGTAACATCACAGATCTTGTCCAGTCACGATTAAAAAATATAATGATAACAGGGCGCCTGGGTGGCTCAGTGGGTTAAAGCCTCTGCCTTCGGCTCAGGTCATGATCCCGGGGTCTTGGGATCGAGCCCCGCATCGGGCTCTCTGCTCAGCGGGGAGCCTGCTTTCTCCTTTCTCTCTGCCTGCCTCTCTGCCTACTTGTGATCTCTGTCTGTCAAATAAATAAATAAAATCTTTAAAAAAAAATATAATGATAAAATTTGAAATGTGAGAATTCCCCTAAATGTGACACAGAGACATGAGGTGAACAAATGCTGTTGGAAAAAACAGTGCCAATAGACTTGATCAGTGTGGGTTGCCACACATCTTCATCTAAAGAACAAAAACAAAAAACATCGTGTGGTGAGCACAGTAAAGTGAAGCACAGTAAAACTAGACAGGCCTTTCAGCTGTTATTTATGTTAATGTGACTGGTTTGTGTGATACCCAGGTTTTAATTTCTAGTGTGGTAAATATCAGTAACTATACCCATGTTAAAAAGAAAAAAAAAAAGGCTATTGGGAATCCTCAATAATTTTTTGAGACCAAAAAGCTTGAAAACAACTGTTCTGTAGTAACTGGTTTCATAAGTTTCCTTTACGACCTTACGTAAAGCACTGGTTCTAAACTTGAGCATGCATTAGTCACCTGGAAGACTTGTTAAGATAGATTGTTGGCCTGTTCCCCAGAGTTTCTGATTCAGTAGTTCTGAGATGGGACCTGTGAACTAGTGTTTCTAACAAGTGCCTGGGTGATGTTGGCCTGGATGATGCTGTTGGCCTGGAAACTGTATTTTGAGATTCATTGGTATAAAGAAATACTGCTTAGAATGAAGGAAACCTAGGTATTGAGTACCTACTTAATTTATGCTCATAACAACTCTGTAGGGAGTTAGGTGTTCTCCCCCCCCCCCTTTTTTTTTTGACAGCACAAGCAGGGGAGCAGCAAGCAGAGGGAGAAGCAGGCTCCCCACTGAGCAGGAAGCCTGATGAGGGGCTTCAGGGGCTCAATCCCAGTACCCGAGGATCATGACCTGAGCCAAAGGCAGACACTTAACTGACTGAGCCACCCAGGTGTTCCTCCCCCTTTTTATTATACCTGAGGAAACTGAAACTTGGGGACTCCCAGCTAGAAAAGTACAGCAGCAATTCAAGTCTAACTTCAGGCCTATTCTCTTTACATAAACTCCTTGCTTATCTTTTTAATTGGTGATGGCTTTATTGAGATCTAATTCTCGTGTAATTCACCCATTTAAAGTATACAATTCAGTGGGGTTTTTTTGTTTGTTTGTTTGTTTTTACATTTATTTTGGAGAGAGCACAAGTGAGAGGGGCAGACGGAGACAGAATATCAAGTTGACTCCCTGCTGAGCACAGAGCCAACACAGGGCTCAGTCTCGTGACTCTTAAGATCATAACCTGAGCTGAAACCAAGAGTTAGATGCTTCACCAACTCCAGCGCCCACGTGTCCCTGTTTTTTGGGGGGTGGGGCGGTTGATTTCTTTTAGAGAGAATGCACACATGAGCAGGGATTGGGACAGAAGGAGAGAATCCCAAGCAGGCTCCCCTCCAAGGGTAGAGCCCGATAGGGGACTTGATCACATAACCCCAAGATCATGACCCAAGCTGAAATCAGGAGTCAGGGGGCATCTGGGGGCTCAGTTGTTAAGTGTGTGTCTTCAGCTCCGGTCATGATTCCAGCGTCCTGGGTTTGAGCCCTGCATCAGGCTCCCTGCTCGGCGGGAAGTCTGCTTCTCCTCTCCCACTCCCTCTGCTTGTGTTCCCTCTCTCGCTGTGTCTCTGTCAAATAAATAAAATCTTTAAAAAAAAAAAAAGGAAAAGATATAATCTCTCATCTGCCTTCTTTTTACCTTCCTAGACTAGTGTTAGATGTGTGTGTCTGGAGAAAAAAAATCTTTTTTTCAATTTACAGACTATACATGGCATCCTTTCATGCTGCTCTGTATGCTGAGGTAACAGCAACAAGAAATGAGTTGCGTTATCATCAGAAATGTGTGGTTCAGGCTATAGTAACCTTCCTTAGATTAAATTACCAGGAATCTTGTGGGGGGTAGTTTTATTGGCTTCTTTTTTAAAACAAAAGTATCTTAGTTAAGCATTCTTTAATGCTGCATTTCAGTAGCAATGTAGGAAGGTCCCTCCAAAAGGGATTTCATAAGTTTTGTCTCTACTGTGTTTTTCACTAGGCTGTGGTGGGAGTAGTTTTGATCCTGGGTTGAGAATTGCACACCTGTGAAATGTACTTATCTAACTGATCTTTTAGAACATTGGTCCCCATACTTTTTATCACTCAGTCCATAGATAAACTATTCTTTAAACATACACCCAAGTATATTTTTATAAATTACATATTGGTACTACTATACCAACATGCAAAAACAAAGGGGGTCACAGTTTAAAACAAGATCTGATATTTTCTTCATAGATCCCACTTGATGGCCTTGCTTTCTTTGGTAGATAATTGTTGCTCTGAATGCTGTGTGATGCTGGAGAGTTTTGCATTTGGTTTTGGGTATTGTGACCTCCTCAGAAGCTTTAGGTATGGCAGCCCCTCCTCCTCACCTTACCTAGGGAGCCTGCCTGAGATGGCTTCCTTTTGGGGCTGGATTCCTGATGTTGCCTTGTTCACTCACTGCCAAATCTTGTCACTGCAGGTACAGGTGCAGGTACAACAGTCTCCGCAGCAGGTCTCGGCTCAGCAGCTCTCCCCGCAGCTCACGGTTCACCAGCCTGCTGAGCAGCCCATCCAGGTCCAGGTGCAGATCCAAGGCCAAGCACCACAGCCGGCAGCCCCTTCCATCCAGACCCCGTCTCTGCAGAGCCCCAGCCCTTCGCAGCTGCAGGCAGCCCAGATCCAGGTGCAGCACGTGCAGGCAGCCCAGCAGATCCAGGCTGCAGAGATTCCAGAGGAGCACATCCCACATCAGCAGATCCAGGCTCAGCTAGTGGCTGGCCAGTCTCTTGCCGGGGGTCAGCAGATCCAAATCCAGACCGTGGGTGCCCTTTCCCCACCACCGTCTCAGCAGGGTTCACCCCGGGAAGGGGAACGGCGGGTTGGCACAGCCAGTGTCCTCCAGCCAGTGAAGAAGCGCAAAGTGGACATGCCCATCACTGTGTCCTATGCCATCTCAGGGCAACCGGTGGCTACCGTGCTGGCCATTCCACAGGGCCAGCAGCAGAGTTATGTGTCTTTGAGGCCAGACTTACTGACAGTAGACAGTGCCCACCTGTACAGTGCCACTGGGACCATTACTAGCCCTACAGGAGAAACCTGGACCATCCCTGTTTACTCTGCCCAGCCCCGTGGGGATCCTCAGCAGCAGAGCATTACCCACATTGCCATTCCCCAGGAAGCCTACAATGCAGTTCACGTCAGTGGCTCACCCACGGCCCTGGCAGCTGTAAAGCTGGAGGATGACAAGGAGAAGATGGTGGGCACCACGTCTGTAGTGAAAAACTCCCATGAAGAGGTAGTGCAGACCCTTGCAAACTCTCTCTTTCCAGCACAGTTCATGAATGGCAACATCCACATTCCAGTGGCTGTGCAGGCTGTGGCAGGCACCTACCAGAACACAGCTCAGACTGTCCATATATGGGACCCTCAGCAGCAGCCACAACAGCAAACTCCCCAGGAACAGACGCCGCCACCGCCGCCACAGCAGCAGCAGCAGCAACTCCAGGTTACTTGTTCAGTAAGTGACGACTTACCTGTAGGGCAGCCTGCTCTCCCAGGGCCGAGTGCAACACAGAACTTCCTGGCAACCTCTGGCTTGTTTACTGCAATGATGTTGGTCTTTCAGTAGTATATTTAATATTTTAGTTGAGTTTGGGGAGGGGGGAATAGAAGCAGCAGGTGAAAGCTATAGAACAGGCAGGCATTCTGTCCTGGTACTTGGAGGTAGATGAAATGATCAGCAGCTGCTTTGGGGATAGATGCCATGCATGCTTCTTTGTTATCCCTTTTTAAGAAGAATAAAGTTCTAGGGAAGGACTAATGGGACATGCCAAGTATTATCTGAGTTTAATAAGCTATTCTGTACACCACAAATGACTGAATCTAGTGGAACCCTTGTAGTTTAGTACACAGGCTATAAACTCACCACAACGGAGAGGCTGTGAAATTATTCCTTTTGAGTTATCTGTGGACACACTGTAGGTGAATTAGCAGATGTAAAATACTTCCTGGTGGGCCTGTTAAAAGTAATCACCTTTGGGAGTGTTAGATAAGCCACCACAGCGGTTTTTTTATGTTCCTTAAATAATCAAGCCTTGGTTAATTTTCTATTATGGAAGCTATGTTGAAAAAAATGTTTAACTTTTTAATTTGAAATAATCTTAGACTTACAGAAAATAGAACTCTTTTAAAATTCCAAATTTAAAATTAGCTTTTTTTTGATTGTTAAGCCTTTTCTTTCTTTCTTTTTTTAAGAGGGAGAGTGTTGGTGTGAGCAGGGGGTGAGGGAAAGGCAGTCTTTTTTTTTTTTTTTTTTAAGAATTTATTTATTTATTTGACAGATGGAGATCACAAGCAGGCAGAGAAGCAGGCAGAGAGAGAGGAGGAAGCAGGCTCCCCGCTGAGCAGAGAGCCCGATGCGGGGCTCGATCCCAGGACCCTGGGATCATGACCTGAGCTGACGCAGAGGCTTTAACCCACTGGAGCCACCCAGGTGCCCCAGGAGAGGCAGTCTTAAGCAGACTTAAGCAGACTGTGCTTGGTGTGGAGCCCGACTCAGAGCTTGATTTTATGACCCTGAGATCATCATAACCTGAGCTGAAATCAAGAGTCGGAGGCTTAACTGACTGAGTCACCCAGGTTCCCCTAATTGTTACATCTTTTAAAGGATACCACAGAGGTGTGGATAGATTTATTCCTTGAGACTTAGCAACTTTAGGGCCTCTGGTCTCATGGGACTGCTAAACGCACTGTGCCTCAGAGGGCAGGGGCTCCTGGGAATGCATGCAAGGGGCTGGTATAAACAGAGCACTATTAGACTAGGGACCGTACTCAGAAACTCAGGCTGTAAGCACAGGCTGACCAAGCAGTTTCAGAGGCTGGTATATTATTATAGGTGACCTTGTTAAGGACTATTAAATATACAGCTGTCAAGGCCTAGATGTAGAACTGTCATTGCTTCAGGTAGCTTATAGTCCAGTTTTGGGGTGATAATGTATGATTCCTATTTTCTGAATTTCTTATAAGGCAGCATAATCAAGCGTGACGTTTTATGTTCAACACACACAAAAACAAACTGGGTATTCAGAAACCATTCTAGGTTAAAAAGTCAACAGAGGCGTCTTTGTGGGAAAAGTGGCATTTGATCTCTGTAGCTTCAACTGACAGAAATGGAGCAGCATCCTTACAGAGCCAGAGATGGACAGAAGGGACATGGCCTAGTACAGCATGAGAGGGGGACTATGGGAGAGGAGTTAGTACAGGGAGCAAAGGATCTATCTTCCCAAAGTGAAGAGTTGAGCTTGACCTGATCTGTGGTAGGAAATGTTTCCATAATCCTAAGAGTTGTGATAACAAGAATCAAGTATGGATGTGTAGAATTAATTGCATGTAGGTGAAACCAGCCTGGAGAATTATGATGTAGCTCAGCTTTTGCTCATAGGGATGGGGAGGACATCAGGCCTTTCCTCAGCTTTCCTGGTCCTTATGGTCCAGTCTGCAGGTCAGGCCTCTTTTCATGCTCATCAGGCTCTGTAATTTCCATTTCTGGGCCCTTAAGCAAGAGAAGATCCTTTTGGGAGTTCATCTTAGTAGGCCCGTGTTCTTCAGAGGCCAGTGTCTCCTTTGGGAAAGTCTTACAGGAATAAATGTCAGGTATTACCAGAAAAGGAAAATTTGAGAAGAATACCCATCATGTGGGAAAGGTGAGTTTGTCCATTTATACCACAAACATTCTTCTGCCCTCTGTATTGGGCTTAGTGCCGGGTGCTGAGGAACAGATATGAATAGTTTCTGCCCTTGGAGTACTCGTAGTCCATGGGGAAGTTAATTGTGCTGTGATGTGAGTTGAACCCTAAGGAGAGCTGATGACAAAATATTGTGCTCTTCCCCTGGCATTGTCCTTTATGAAAGTTAGCACCTGCCTTTAAAACCAGATTTATGGTGAAGCCTCCCTCTCTTGAGCTTGCATCCGCCTCTGTCTGTGGCCCCGTTTCTCCACTCTGCTTTATTCCCAGCGTTCTCAGGCATTATCTGTGCAAGCTGATTCTGCCTACTAACCAGTTTTCTCTTCAATTTATCACTGATTCTGTTCTTGTCAAGGTCAGCAGTGACTTCTTGTGGCCAGATCCAACAGGCATGTCTGTTTTTATCTCACAGCAACATGACAAAATAGACCATACCTACCTTCTTGGAATTCTCTGGCATGGTTTTCCTCCTATCTACCACTGTTTTGGGTTTTTTTTTTGTTTTTTTTTTTTACTTCTCAGGAGAGTTTACTGGTGCTTCTATCTGAACCATACATAGTCATGTTCCTCAGAACTCAGTACTAGCCTTCTTTTCTCTTTAAATAGTTTCTGTCTGTGGCCTTGGTTTTCAGCACCCGATGGATGGCTGGTGCCACTGAAGGTGATAGTCACTGACAGCATCTGCCAGGCACTATTTCAGTGTTACACAGGTTAACTCATTTAATTCACACACCAACTTTATGAGGTATGCACTACTATTTCTATTTTATAGATGAAGAAAATGAGACACAGATTAAACAGCAAGACCAAAGCCATGGTTAGTAAATAAAAGAGTTGGGGTTCAACCCCAGGTAGGCTGGCTCTGGAGCCCATGTCTTATACCCTGTGCTGCATTGAGACACAGAACTCTATCTCTAGACCGTGCCTTTTCCTTTAAACCTTTCTTGTGCCTCCAGCAGCCTGTTTTCATTCACTTGGATTTCTTGAAGCTATCTCAGCCCTTCATTAGCATCACCTCTACTGCTATTGAGAAATTCTCCTCTCAGGACACCTGGCTGGCCCACTTGGCTAGAGCATGTGACTCTCAATCTTGGGGTCATGAGTTCTAGCTGCATTTTGGTAATAGAGTTAACTTAAAAATAGATATATAGGTGGGTGGGTGGATGACCTGTTTTAAGAAACAAAAACAAAACTTCTCTTCTCAGAAAGTGGTACCATCTCCACCCATTTGTTTAAACTGGAAACCCAAGAATCATCCTTGAGTCTGCTTTCCCTTACTTTTCACAGCCAACTCGTCAACAAGCTACTTTGGTTCTGCCACCACACTTCTCAGCATTTCTTAAATCTTCTCCATTGCCATCCTAGTCCAGGCAACTAGCGCCTTTGCCCTTCAATCCATTCTCCATAAATCAGAATATTCTTTTTTAATGTAGGATGATGTCACTTCCCAGCTTAAAACTCTCCAAGGACTCCATTATAAAGAGGAAGGAAAACTCTGTACCACAGTGTACAAAGCCCTACTTACATCCGTAGTTTTCGTCCTGGTTGGGATCACTACTACCCCACCCACTGACAGACATTTAGACATGTAAAAGAATTTTGTTGTCAAGATGCTTGGAAATGCTATATTAGTGGGGGAAGGCACACAGTGAAGGGGGCCGGGCGAAACACCAGACGCAAAGTACTGCCCCACATGCCCTGTCGCCCACCTACTTATCTAGTCAGACTCCAAGATTTGCAGCTTGGGTAGGTGGTGTTGCCATTGAACAAGATAGGAAGGGAATAGATCTGGACAGGGAAAGTGTTGAGTTCTCTCCATAGATGGTAATCTGAGGTAGTTATAAGATGGAGACATATAGTACCCCCTGGGTATATTAATGGCAGATCTAGCTTGGAGGTGCATAGTTAGCAATCATTTCCACAAACATGGAAGTCTAAACTGGAAAAGTGGGTAAGACTCACCAAGGAGATGGTAGTTGAACTGGGAAGTGTGTCTAGAGTGGAGCTCCTGGGTTGACAAACATTTAAGAGCCTCACACTGATACTGCTTTATTTCCTTATTTAATTACCTTTTGAAAGCTAAGAGGAGAGTTTTTACTTTTTTTTTTTTTTTTTAAGATTTTATTTATTTATTTGACACAGAAAGAGAGCACAACTAGGGGGAGCCCAACGTGGGATTCAATCCCAGGACCCCGGGATCCTGACATGAGCCAAAGGCAGTAGTTTAACTGACTGAGTCACCCAGGTGCCTGAGAGTTTTTACTTTTATTCATTGATAAGCAGCTTTATGTGTCATAAATTATTTTGCCTTCAGTTTGAATGATTTGACATTCCTTAGCCCTTTGGGTGGGCCCTGGCATGGAGAATTCCTCAAAGGAATTTGTTCAGAATATAGACTGGTGTGTGAGGCCCAAGAACCTATGCCTGGTATCTTTGTTGGTGTTTATCCCGCCCAGTATGGGGATTGTGATTGACGCTCATGGACATTTCATGTGCCACTTTGTGTGCACAACTTACTTTTAGACCATTGAGGACAAGACAACTCTTCCTTTGGAGGCAGGAAGCTAGAGTAGTACTCCTTTCTTCAGAAAATACCCTTAGGAAATAGAGCAGTATTATTGAGAAGGAATTTGGGGGGGTAAAAAACAACATTATATATAGCTAGAGGAGCCATAAACATCTTTCAGGTCTTTTCTTATCTTTCAATGGCACAAGAGAGAACACAATTTGTGCTTGTTGTACTTTTCTTTTTCCAAAACAATGATTTTCAACCATGGCTGGACATAAGAATCACTGGGAGCTTTTAGAAATACTGATGTCAGGCCCCCATCTTAGACCAACTAAATCATAATCTGTAGGGATGAGGCCCAGGCGTGGATATATTCTAAAAGCACCCCAGATGTTTTTAAGTGCACTCAAGTTTAATGGTCATTACTCTGGACACTTGATAATTCAAAGTGTGGTCTGCAGACCAGCTCCCTTACTTGGGAACTTGTTAGAAATGCAGAATCTCAGTTCCCACCTGAGACCTTTCAAATCAGAATCTACACTTGAAGAAAATCCATGATTTTTTTTTTTTTTTTCTTTCCACTTTATACTTTGGCAAGCACTGCTTGGGGCCAGTAGTTCTGAGTAGTGATTAAACTTTAGAATTGCCTTTTTATGTGGGAAGGTATTTGAAAGACTGTAGTCTCTTTAAAAAGATATTCTGGGGTAGAAGTCAGGTATTGGTATTTCTAATTCAGGGATTCAGAAGTCCAGCCAGGGCTGAAAAGCACTGCAGGAGCCTTAACTGTCCTTGGGGTAAGGAGTAGAACTCCAGTGGTCTTTGAAAGTGGGATAACAAGTGGAAGAAAGATACTTTTTTATTACAAGAACCACAGGTAATATTTTTCTAGCATTTTTGTGGAAGGGCCTGGTGCAAAACAATACTGACACATTTTGATGGTTTATCTCTTACAGGCTCAGACTGTCCAGGTTGCTGAAGTTGAACCACAGTCACAGCCACAGCCTTCCCCGGAACTTCTGCTTCCAAATTCTCTGAAGCCAGAAGAAGGGCTTGAAGTATGGAAAAACTGGGCCCAGACGAAGAACGCTGAGCTAGAGAAGGATGCTCAGAACAGACTGGCACCCATTGGGAGTGAGTGTTTATTGGTTGGGGCGGGGTGGACTCTGGCTAAAATGTAATGGTACTGAAACAGCAGGAGGACGTGATGGCAGGAAAGTGGCGTCCTTTGGCTCTGGGGGTTAGGGATCACCATCTGAAATAATACGCCGAATTCAGCAGACCTGACCTGCTGCACATGAGCAGGATTTATGGTGTTTGCCCAAGACCAGGCATATTTGTACACATGGATTTCTGAAGTCAACCTAGCAGATCTGCGTGGAGTGAATTCTGGAAGGAGATAGGAACCAGTGACTGTCTTTAAGGCCCTTCTTCCTTAACATTATGTTTGTATTCTTCCTCATCTTACAGAGTATGGATTTTACGGGTTTTTTGCTTTCATGTCTTGGCCCCAATAATAATTTTGAAGGTATGTGAGGTGGGGAGGATTGTGGGAAGGAAACTGTTAGTGTAAATAGGGCATACATGATTATTGTCTTAGTAGGCCAGTTCTGACCTTAGATGCAGGTGACTGTTCCTGTCCTAGCTCCCTGATGATCACTATCTAACCTGAGTGCTCCCAGGGATATGAGCAGCCAGTTAAGAGGTTACTCTTGCCAGGAACCCCATTCACCTTTGGGGGTCACCTTTGGCTTGTGTTGCAGGGCGCCAACTCTTGCGATTCCAGGAAGATCTCATCTCTTCTGCTGTGGCTGAGTTAAATTATGGGCTCTGTCTAATGACACGGGAAGCTCGAAATGGAGAAGGTGAACCCTATGATCCAGATGTGCTCTACTATATTTTCCTGTGTATTCAAAAGGTAGGAAACAGACTCCAGAGGAACGTGTTTAAGCTGTGTTCCTGTTGGGTATTTGCTGGTTACTGAAATTAGTAAAATGATAACCAAGTGGTTTTAAGGAAGTTCTCTTTCAACTAATAATGAGTTTTTATTTTTTTAATTTTATTTTAATTAAGTTAATTAACATAGAGTGTATTCGTTTCAGGGTTGGAATTCAGTGGTTCATCAGTTGCACATCACACCAAGTGCCCATAATATCATGTGCCCTCCTTAATGCCTGTCACCCAGTAACCCATCCTCCCCCCACCTCCCCTCCAGCAGCCCTCAGTTTGCTCCCTGTAGTTAAGAGTTTCTTACGGTTTGTCTCTGTCTCTGATTTCATCTTATTTTTCCCTCCCTTCCCCTATGATCCTGTTTTGTTTCTTAAATTCCACATATGAGTGAAATCAACTGTATGTTGAGTTTTTTAATGTACATTTTTAAAAATTGCAGAAGATCGAACATGTTTGCTTCAAAAAAATAAAATAGACATCAGCCATAATCCCATCATCTAGAGAAACGTTTGCTAAAATATTTGTTACAGTATCTGAGAGCCTTTTTAAAAAACACACAAAGTATTTATATAATAGATTTTATTAAAGTAAATATGGTTTGCATAAAAGTAATCTGTCCCAGACAAAGTCTGGTGTTAATATTCAGCTCATTTCCTCATTGTTCTCTGCATTAACACAAAATAATATTTGAGAATCTAGCTAGAATATGCAACTCTAGGTAGGCTTTGAGGACATCTAAGGTGCAGTGTAACAGGGAAACTTGATTTAGGACCCGCAGTTCAGGAGAGCAGGGGTGGATTTCTCAGTGTGTGAGCGCTCTTGTGGTGAAGCCCTCAGTGTGATGGAGGAGCCCTTGCTGGTTAGGATTCACCCTGTTGCCTGAGCCTAAGAAAAGTCTGCCTCCCTCTTTATTTCTCTTTCTTCCCAGTCACACAGGGCACTTGAGTAAATTGCTTTACATACTCGGTTTCATTCCGTGCTCTCCCTAGTCCTGGAAGGCAGGCACAGTCATTTCCACTGACAAAAAAACTGAGCCCCAGAAGTTAAAATACTCGCATGAGTTACTTAACTTACACCATGGCTAATAAGAGGCTGGCCCCAGAGCCTGCATTAGGTTTTTTGCTACCACAAGACAATGCCTTGCCTGGGTGAAATAGCATTTGCAAAATCTGTCCCATTGACCAACTCTCCACAGAGTGTTACCAGAGTCATTTCACATGATCTGAAGTATGCTCTGGAAATGTCATATGCAGGACCTTTTTGACCTGTTATGTTGTTTTGTTAAGGAGGCAGACATGGGTAAGGAGAGGTGATGATACTGGTAGCACAGTGTTTATTTCCCCTGAAAGTTTTACTCAGGAGATTATCAACAACTTTTATTGTTTTTCTTTTAGTATCTTTTTGAAAATGGAAGGGTTGATGACATTTTCTCCGATCTTTATTATGTTCGATTTACTGAGTGGCTACATGAAGTTCTGAAAGATGTTCAGCCCCGAGTCACTCCACTTGGTAAGCGTCTTCTTAGTCCTTGGATGTCTTTCCCACCTGGGTTTGAAAAAGGTCAGTTGCCGGTGTGGCTGCCTTTGATACAGCATGTGGGTGAGGAGGCTATAAATCCTAGGTACCAGCCTCAGCTTCTGTGCTGCTTGGCCTGGTATGCAAGGGGCACCGCATACCAGACAGAGAACCTGGCAGGTCCCAGTGTGTCAAGGACATGGGGGCATGGAGAGTTGGGGTACTCTTTTTTGTTTGTTTGTTTGTTTTAATTAAAATTTACTGATTAAAATTAGAATCACTGCATTAAGAATTATGAACTGTTTGATCTGTAGGTTACTCATGTTACATATTGGGGTTTTTTCTGTGTGTTTGAATATGCACACAGATATATCTAGATGTATATATAGATACATAGAGATATTCTACATATATAGAACATAATTTTTGCTTTACCCATATAACCACCTGAATAGCATGCATTGGAAAGAACAGGAGTTTTACAGTAGAATGTCTGAGGTGTCTGTTTTGTTTTTTAATAAACTTTTATCTTTTTAGAGCAATTTTAGGTAGACGGAAAAAATGAGAAGGGCATAGAGAATTCCCATAATACTCTCTCACACACTGTTTCTTCTGTTACTTAATATCTTGTATTGATGTGTGGGGTATTTGTTATAATTGATGAGCGAGCGTTGATATTAGTAACTAATGTCTGTAGCTTACATTAGGATTCACTCCTCCTTTGCTGCATTCTGTAGGTGTGGACAAATGTATAATGACATTTATCTGTAATTACAATATCATACATAAGTTTTGGGTCTAAAATCCTCTGTGTTCCACCTGTTTATCCCCCTCCCCCCCACATCCCTGGCAATCACTGATCTTTTCACTGTTCCATAGTTTTGCCTTTTCCAGAATATCATATAGTTGGAATAATTGAGTATGTAGCTCTCTCAGATTGGTTTCTTTCACTTAGCAATATGCGTTTAATGTTCCTGTGTGTCTTTTCATGGCTTGACAGCTCATTTCTTTTTATTGCTGAACAATAATCTACTGTATGGATGTGTGTGTTTATCTACTCACCCATTGAAGAACATCTCCGTTGCTCCCAAGTTTTGGCAATTATGAATAAAGCTGCTCCAAACATTGTGTGCAGGTTTCTGGTGGAAGAACAGACAAATCACTAGAATAGCATAGAGAGCCCAGAAGTAGAGTCACACAAATATAACCAGCTTATCTTTGACAAAGGAGTAGAGGCAGTTCAGTGGAGAAGAGCAGTCTTCTCAACAAATGGCGCCGCAGCAACAGGACACTCACGTACAAAAACGTGAATCTAGATGCAGACCCTACACTGTTCACAGAATCAACTCACACTGGGTCACAGACCAAAATGTAAAACGCAAAACGGTGAAACTCCTAGAAGATAACATAGATAACATAGGAGAAAATTAGGTGACCTTGGGTTTGGTAGTAACTTTTTGGATATAACACCAAAAGCACAGTCCGTGAAAGAAAATAATTGATAAGCTGGACTTCATTAAAATTAGAGACTTATGACCTATGAAAGACACTTTTAAGAGAATGAAAAGACAAGCTACAGATTGGAAAAAAATCTTTTGCAAAACACATACTTGATAAAAGATTGGTATTCAAAATATACAAACAACTCTTAACACTCAACAATAAAAAGAAAGCAAAACCTGATCCAAAAAATAGGCAAAAGATCTGAAACAGATTCCTTACCAAAGAAGATATACAAGTGGCAAATAAGTATATAAAAAGATGTTTATCATTAGATATCATCAGGAAATTGCAGACTAAAATGAGATACCACTATACCCCTATCAGAATGGCTAAAATCACAAACAGTAGCAGCCCCAAGTGCCGGAGAGGGAGTACAGGAATGCTCATTCTTTGCTGGTTGGAATGCAAAATGGTATAATCCCTTTATAAGACAGCTTGACATTTTCTTTTAAAAGTGAACCTGGGGATGCCTGGGTGGCTCAGTTGGTTAAGCGGCTGCCTTCGGCTCAGGTCATGATCCCAGCGTCCTGGGATCGAGTCCCACATCGGGTTCCTTGCTCAGCGGGGAGCCTGCTTCTCCCTCTGCCTCTGCCTACCACTCTGTCTGCCTATGCTCATGCTCTCTCTCTCTCTCTCTCTAACAAATAAATAAATAAAATCTTTAAAAAATAAAAAAATAAAAGTGAACCTGGGTGGCTCAGTTGGTTGGACGACTGCCTTCGGCTCAGGTCATGATCCCGGAGTTCCGGGATCAAGTCCCGCATTGGGCTCCCAGCTCCATGGGGAGTCTGCTTCTCCCTCTGACCTTCTCCTCACTCATGCTCTCTCTCACTGTCTCTCTCTCAAATAAATAAATAAAATCTTAAAAAAAAAAAAAGTGAACATTCAAAAAATAAAAAATAAAAAAAATAAAAGTGAACATTTTCTTACCTTATGATCCAAGAGTTGTGCTCCTTGGTATTTACCCAAATGAGCTGAAAATTTAAATCCACACAAATATCTGAGTTTTAATCCTGGCTTTGCCACTTATTAAAATGTATGCTGCTTACAGGGGTATAACTCAGTGGTAGAGCATTTGACTGCAGAATGTATGCTGCTTAAACTTTTTTTTCCCCATCAAAAAAACCTAACTGGAATTAAAAACTTCTTTTAAAAATTGAGATGCAATTGATATATTAGTTTTAGGTATACAACATAATGAATTGATATATGTGTGTCTTGTGTAATGATCTAGTTTAGTTAACATGCATTACCACAGAGTTAGATGCTTTAAGAAAAAGTTACTGGTTAAACAAATACTTTTTGAATACCTACTGTGTGCCAGGCAAGTATTCCAGGTGTAGATAATATAATGTAACGAACTAAATGGAGCTTATAGTCTGATAGGGGGAGACAATGTGTAAATAACCAATTTATGAAGAACAAAGCACAGGGGAATGGAAAGTGTTAAGGGCATTGGGATGGAGGCCTTTCTGAGGCGCTGTCATTAGAACAGAAACCAAGTAAGTGATTCACTACATGATATGCAGATTTTCAAGCCAAGTGTGGCTATGCCGAGTTTGCTTTTTTAAAAATTGTATTACAGAAATTTCAAGCACATACAAAAATTAAACAATAGGTAAGTGACATTCCCATGTACCCGCTGTCCATGGCAAATCTTGTGTCTTGTGTACACCTGCTTTTCCCCTCCTATATTATTTTGAAGTAACTTCAAATATAAATATTTTTAGTATACTTGACATACCATGATGCCATTATTATAATTGAAAAAAGATAATTCCATAATGTCATCAAAGTCTACCCTACCCTTTGTTCAGATTTCTAAGTGTCTCATAAATGTCACTTTCTTGTTTATTTGAGTCAAGGTGCAAATAAGGTCCATACATTGAAATTTCTAATATGTCTTAGTATTTAGCTTTAATCTTTAATTTTCTCCTTGATTCTATTTCTTATAATTTTTTATGGAAGGAATGAGCCATTTATTAATTGATTTATTAAGAGTACCAGAGAGTGCTCCGGGAGGGAGGGACTGAGGGAGAGGGAGAGAGAGAATCTCAGGCAAGCTCCATGCCCAGCATGGAGGCCAGCTTGGAGCCTGATCCCATGACACTGAGATCATGACCTGAGCCAAAACCAAGAGTCAGACACTCAACTGACTGAACCACCCAGGCACCCTGAAACTAGCCTTTTAAATTGTCAGTCTGATTAGATCCCCATAGTGTAGTTTAACATAGTTTTCTGTTCCCTGTATTCACAGTTAATTGATAGTTCATGTAAAGACTTCCTTGATCGGGTTTTGATTTTTTTTTTTTTTTTGGGGGGGGGGGGTTTTGATTTTTGTGTTTCTTTTTGGCAAAGTTATGTCATAGATGTTGGTTATATACTTCCAACTGATATCCATAATGTCTCTATCCATTAATTCATTAGGAGTTGCAGATGGTGGTATTCTGATATTATTACTTCTTCATTATTAGCTGAAGTACAAAGCAAAACTTTCCCTTGATCACTCTTTTAATACCTAGCAGTATAGATGATAGATTTTATAGGAGAGACGGATCAGGCCTTATTTCTTTTCTTTGTTTAGCAGTTTTTATGGTAATGAGTTGGTTCACCGGTTTCATCCAGTGATAACCAGTTCATTTTTTTTTTTCTTTTTTTAAGGAATCATTTGTGAACTAATAAATTTAAACATATTTAATTTGGCTCAATCCATTGCAGTTCTTTTTTGCTGTGCAAATTGTTCCATCTTTGGCCATTTGGAACCTCCTAAATTGGCTTTTAAGTTCTTTGGACATGGCCCTATTTCCTTGATTTCTGATTGGCCAAATGTTCTAGGCTGATCTTGGACATTTTCTGTTTTCCGTCTTGGTGTGGAATTGGTCAGTTCTCCGTGGAGATTGGTTCCTTTTAGTGGTAAATGGCATTTTAAGTAGCACGGTCTGGATGCACAGGGGTGTTCATTGCTCCTGGGTTGGTCGTTGCTCATAGGCCTTTCAGTGGGAAGAAGTAAAAAAAGATAAAATAGGTCATTTCGATGCTTGCAGTTCAGATTGAGAACTATCAAGTTTTTATATGATGTCCCTGTCTACATCTCCCTTCTCCCATGCCAGGAGTCCTGGTTTTTAGATCCTAAACTTCGCTTTCAGTTTTGTTAAGAAGTAGTTCAAGCTAGGGAAGCTCATTAAATGGCAGAGTGAAGTAAACCCAAGGAAACAACACATGCCAAGTATGTATGGGACCATTTCTACCAGTGGCCTCCCCCAAGGAGGGATCTCTATGCCACTCACCTGCTTCAGATATGTTTGAGGGCAGGGAAGCTTACCTCATTGCCAGTAGGCCACAAAAAAGAAGAGTAGAGCTAGAGCTGCCCTGAAGAGATGGGAGTGCACTTAATGGAGCTTTGGCAGGAGCAGAGAAGAGGAATGTCTTGGGCAGAATATTTCTTTCCCCGCTTCTAGGAAGTGACATCCTTACTGCCTGCCTGGAGGACCCTGCAACTCCAGCAGGAGAACGCTTTCATCACCGCCTCAGTGCCTGGCACACAAACTCTTGTACATTAACTGTTGAATGAACACATGAAGGGGGCTTGGTGATCAACTCAAGTCTCCTTTTTCTTTGGCGTAGACCTGGGTACACAAGGCTTTTGATCAAACACTGGCCTTAGCCCCTGTCCAGCTCTCAGTTCGCTTATAGACCGGGTTCTTAAAATCTGTGCTGTCGGGGAATCTTGTAATAGTTTGAATATCATTCTCCAATATCATTCTCCCTTTTATCCAGAGAGGGGATGCGAATGGGTTTGCTTTCTAGAGGTGGAAAATGTGAAAGGTTTAGCACGGGCAAAGAGGCACCCGTACCAGTTCTTTGGGCCCTTAACGCCTGAAAATACGATGCAATTTCTGTACCCTCTTTGTAGAGAAGTATGCACATATGCAGAGTTTGTTATATGGTTTTGGGTGTTTCAGTATTCTTTTGCCCCACTTTAACTGTGGATTAGAGGAAAAATTAACAGGTAAGCGCAATCATACAGGCCAGTGGTTCTCAGGAACTTGTTAGAAATGCACATTACCAGGCCCCACCCCAGAAACATGGGCTGGAACTCAGCCATTAATGTTTTATCAAGCTTCCAGATGGTTCTACCATTCCCTAGGGAGATTTTTCTGGTTAAACTTGTACTCTTTTGTGGTCCTTGTGCCTCCCACCTCCCGTCCTGCACCTCTTGAGGGCCCACCTGCCATCCTCTTGTTGTAGCAGTGCTCTATTCCTCCTAGGCTATGTCCTGCCCAGCCACGTGACTGAGGAGATGCTGTGGGAGTGCAAGCAGCTCGGGGCTCACTCCCCTTCCACCCTGCTGACCACCCTCATGTTCTTTAACACCAAGTAAGTGTTCTAGAAGCTCTATGCTTAGCCACTGCCGGCATCTGCCCAGTGAAGAGGGTGGAAACTATCCAGGTAGATATAGGAATTCCTTTGACACATATTTGAGAACCTTTGGGCTACTGAAAGCCTTCAGTCCCACTTGGCTACATTGGTTTGGTGACCAGTGAGGCAGACAGCCTTGCGAGACCCCTGCCATCAGTCTTGATATGGTTCCTCCACTAGACAGTGTTTTTGGGTATGGGCCTGTCCAGATTCTGGGAGTGTGCACAGCGACTCCTCTGAGACACCGATGGCAGAGGGTAAGTCATAGTCTCCTCCTGGCACCCCTCCCTTTGCCTTGCTTTCACTTGTGGTACAGATACTTCCTGTTGAAGACAGTGGACCAGCACATGAAGCTGGCCTTCTCCAAGGTTTTGCGACAGACAAAGAAGAACCCCTCTAATCCTAAGGATAAAAGCACGAGTATTCGGTACCTGAAGGCTCTTGGGATACACCAGACTGGCCAGAAAGGTAGGGGCTGCAGAAACAGCTGCAACTTGTCCTGCCCTGCCCTTGTGCCTGGGGGGTTAGTGTTGAGTGTGAAGGTTGGGATCTGTTGGATAGGAATTCTCCATTCCCTTCTTCCCACCTAGAAACTTCAAACTCTTGTAGAAGCAGAGATGCCCCAGAAATGATTGCTGCTTTTTCCCTTCATACTTTCCCTCCATGCCGCACACCCTTTCTCCTCCCAGTAAGTCTAGTTGGGATATCTGGAAGCCTAAGGTTTCTAATCTGGTCCTGAGCTAAGGCAGTCTCATGCTGTGTTCCTGGTGGTGGGGGTGTGTTTTATAGTTACAGATGACATGTATGCAGAACAGACGGAAAATCCAGAGAATCCACTGAGATGTCCCATCAAGCTCTACGATTTCTACCTCTTTAAATGGTGAGGAAGCTTTATGATGCTTGGGTGACTGTATGTTTGCATGTGTGCATTGTACCTGTGTACAAGGCATTTTTAATTAGTCCCAAACAGAGTAAAAACACACTTCCAAAAAGCTAAATAGAGAAGCAGCCTGACTGGTTTCCCCAAAGCATGTGGAATGACTATGTTGTGACTTTATGTGGTCTCCTGTCTTGGAGAGGGAAATGAAGGTAGATGAAGGAAAGTATAGAAGGGTGGCCTCCATAATGTAGCATAGTATAGCCCTGCATCTTCCTGGCCTTGACCTTTGTCACTAGCAACATCAGTCTAGGGGGGATTTCTTTCCTTGGCTTTTACTCTCTTACCCTTGCAGTTTGGAATGTTATCTTTACAGCAATGCCAAAATCATCTTTCTATGTTATAGGTCTTATGTTACTTAGATTAAACCTTTAGTGGTTTCCATTTATTACATAGAGAAAGAGTAATCTTAATCTTGCCAACAAGGCCTTATGTATACTCCCCCTTGCTAATCTCACGTCCTTGTAGCTCTTGGCTCTCTAGCCATACTGGCTCCTCTCTACTCCAGAGCGTCTTGCTCTCCTACCTCCAGTCCTCAGCTTAGAAATTTTCCCTATTGGGCAAGAGTCCCCTCCCCACCCCCATATTTGGCTATTTGACTCCTATCCACCCCTCTTTTCAAAACAGCTTTACCAGAAGCATTTCCAGATTCCCTACCTGTTCTTTTGGGCTCTTTCCTCTGTAGCACTTACCACTGATTGTCATTTTGTGTTTGTTTATGTAACTGTTTGTTCACTGTCTCATATCTGTAAGTTCCATAAGGTAGGGAGTCTTGGATCCTGCTCATTTCTTGAGTATCAGCCCTGCAGGCCTGGCACACAGTAACCCTTTGATAAATCTTTTTTTTTTTTTTTTAAGATTTTATTTATTTGATAGGGAGAAACACAGCAAGAGAGGGAACACAGGCAGAGGGAGGGGGAAAGTCAGAAGCAGTCTTCCCACTGAGCAGGGAGCCCAATGCAGGGCTTGATCCCAGGACCCTGGGATCATGACCTGAGCTGAAGGCAGCCACTTAACAGATGAGCCACCCAGGCACCCCCCTTTGATAAATCTTGAGTGGATAGGTGAATGTAACTGTTAAAAGGTGGCATATGCTAAGTATAGCACAACTTTGAGGGAGTGGAGGTGAGCCCAGGTAAGCGTCCAGTATCACAGCCAAGGTCGAAGGCAGAGTCTCCTGCGTCAAATTTGGGAATTCATTTAACTGGGTAGAGGAAACAACATGAACAAAAACTTGGTTAGACTCAAGTAGATGAACCCTGACATCCCAAGACAGGTGGTTAGAGGAATGACAGCTGGCTGCATGTGAGGGAGGATGGAAGGGAGGCAGCTGGTATTGGCAGTAGCCCCAAAGGAGGCCCTAGAGGTAATTGTGTGTTGACTGCATGGAATTCAGTAGCTATGCCATCATCATACTTTCGAAAGCTGCTTGTCTTCCCACATTTTGCATACAGCATCTGTCTGGAAGATTCCAGGGTGGGAAGGTTGAGAATGTTGTGGTTTTACCCAACTTTTACTGATAATATTTTTCAGTCCCCAGAGTGTGAAAGGCCGGAATGACACGTTTTATCTGACGCCTGAGCCAGTGGTGGCCCCCAATAGCCCAATCTGGTACTCGGTCCAGCCTATCAGCAGAGAGCAAATGGGACAGATGCTGACTCGGATCCTGGTGATACGAGAAATTCAGGAGGCCATCGCAGTGGCCAACGCAAGCACCATGCACTGAGATCCCTAAGCCATGGTGCAAGGGAGATGATCCAGGAAAAAAAAATGGACAGACTTTCACACTAAAGAAGAGGCCTCCGTTTTTTTCTTTTTCTTTCTTTTTTTTTTTTTTTTAAATTGGTGTAGTTATGAAGCCTTTCAGACTGCTTCTGTTTAAAATGTAAAAGGAAATGTAAAAGGACGCCTCCTGTGCGTCACCGTAAATCTGCCGCAGCAGATTCCTCAGCCCGTGGGGACTCTGGGTTTCCTGAAAGCCAGATGTCCTAGAAAGTTGCTGGCTGGCTTTTTCTTTTTTGTCTGGGGCCTGGGGAAAGGGCTCGGACTGTTAGGAGAAATGTGGCCCCTTCCCTTACTCCAGAAAGATGGAATTAGTGACGGACCCTCCAGGGAATCTCCCCAGCTGGCTTCCACTCTGACTGGCAGACGTCGCTGACCACAGGGGAGCCATGGTCTTTTCTTTCTTCATGCTCAGACATAAACTTAGCATCTTAATGGAAGGAAAATGAGGGGAACTTCAATTATGATTTGTTAAAGACAATTTCTATTACACCCTCCTTTCTGACAAGTGACATTTTAGATGTTAAAGTAAAAACTTTACCATGCCTTTTTTTTTTTCTTTTTCTTTTTTTTTTTTTTTTTTGGCCTGACATTGAGGCCTTAAACCTGAGGCTCCTGTGCCTGATGGAATTCTTGTAACATACACTCGTGTATCATATAAAGATACCACTCTGTTTCTCTTATGTATTCTTAATCTAGTTGTTTATTAAGAATGACAAGCACGTCTTTTCAACATGCTAGTGAACATCGCCTCTTTATTTGGGAGGAGGCTGGCGGGCCAGTGGAAGCAAAGCCTTAACTGCTAGTTGAGCGGGTCACCGTCCTCTGGGAGGGGGCGGCCTCGGGAACACCCAACTTTGTGGCTGCACACCTAGGGCGTGCTCTGCGCATGCGCTCCCTCAGCCCCGCCCGCGAGGTGCGCGGGCTCCGCCTGTTCGTACTACGTCCTGACGTCAGTGACGCGTATGGCGCAATGACGATAGCGGCGGGTTTATATTGGCGCGGCCCGGACGGCTGAGGCCTCTGCGGCGCGGTCTTCGGGCACACGCGGCTTTGTCCGGCACCGGCCATGGCCGACTACCTGATTAGCGGGGGCACGTCCTACGTGCCAGACGACGGGCTCACGGCACAGCAGCTGTTCAACTGCGGGGACGGCCTCACCTACAAGTGCGGGGCTAGCGGGCTCACCTGGGCGAGAAGAGGGGTGGCGCGCTGGATTGGGAGGCCGGGCGGGGTTTTCCACTGAGCCCGCTTGGACCTGGGCGTGGGAGACGGGTTCCGGAGAATCCCCCACCCATCTCTGGGGCTCCGTTTGATAGATCTGAAGTGGGGCGGGATGGAGGAGGCATCTTGGCAGTGCTTGAGATTTCAAGCTAGAAGCTCCATTCTCTCGGCACATGGAGTTGTCAGGGTGCCAGGGTCGCTGATGACAGCTAGGTGGCAGAAAAGGTCCCGTCTTCATCTCCACCTTGTGATTTGTCTGCCCTGCCTGTGACAAGGGCTGGGTCAGTGCCCTCTAGGCCCAAATGCCCTATGACATGATCTGTGGGGATGGAATCTCGGGCCCCCCTAAGCCTGAGCCTTAATCCCAATTCGCTCCCCTCCCCCGTAGTGACTTTCTCATTCTCCCTGGGTACATCGACTTCACCGCAGACCAGGTGGTGAGTATGGCCAGAATTTGGGTCCTGAGCATCAAGGTTGGGTAAGATATTTCTCTTCCCTGTCTCTCTGCTACTACAGCAGATTGGGCTTGGGGGGTGATTCTATGGAATAGTCTGGCATGCAGGTCATACAGGGCACCTCTTTTATGGGGGACCTGGCACCACCCTGAGGCTTTTATGAGGTGCTTTCCCACATTAGCTGGCCATATTTCCTCAGGACCTGACTTCTGCTCTGACCAAAAAGATCACTCTGAAGACCCCACTGGTTTCCTCACCCATGGACACAGTCACAGAGGCCGGCATGGCCATAGCAATGGCGGTGAGCATCATGGGCGTAAGGACAAAAGGAGGGACCTCACTCACACTTCCCCAAAGACACACATAGTCATGCTGCTCCTTGTCACTTTTTCGCTGTCTTCTGTTTATCATGCAGCTTACAGGTGGTATTGGCTTCATCCACCACAACTGTACACCTGAGTTCCAAGCCAATGAAGTTCGGAAAGTGAAGGTCAGAAGGGCAAGGATCGTGGTCAAGAACTCCTGGGAATTGCACTGAGGTGGAGTGGGGTGGAAGTGGGGGATTTGTTCTCCTAATTTAGGATCCCTTTTTCCCCACTTGGGGGTTCAGTTCCTGAGAAGAGCATGAGACCCTGTGTCCTAAGACAAGAGAAGAGGACCAGGTGGATAGAACCTATAGCCCACCCATGTTTACCATCCCTGGGTTTGAATTGTGATTTGGTCCTGTGGTACTTGCCAGAGGGGAAGTTGGCACAGACCCCAGACTTCAGACTGATAGATGGTTCAGAAATGTTCTTTCTCACCATCCCTTCCAGAAATATGAGCAGGGATTCATTACGGACCCTGTGGTCCTCAGCCCCAAGGATAGAGTGCGGGATGTGTTTGAAGCCAAAGCCCGGCATGGATTCTGTGGTATCCCAATCACCGACACAGGCCGGATGGGGAGCCGCTTGGTGGGCATCATTTCCTCAAGGGACATAGATTTTCTCAAGGAGGAAGAGCACGACCGGTTTTTGGAAGAGGTGGGTGCTACTGACAATGCAAAGCCAAGCTCTGGCAGCCAAGGCTTAAGGTGCGGTTTCTGTTGCCTGAATGGCATTTCTGGGGGTCTCTGCTGTCCAGGAAAGATTAATGAATGCCCAGCCAAGTCTCTGACCCCTTCGTGGGGTTCCTGCATCTCTTTCCCACCAAATGCTCTCATTGTGCGCAAGCATTTGCCAGCATGCATGCTGTGTGGCCACTCCCAAGGTGGGGGCAGTGCTCAAGGACCAACTTCAGCCTCCTCTCTTGTCGTTGCTCTGGTGGGGCCCTTCTTTCTCCACTAGTAACATTATAGAGTGTTCTGTGTACCACGTCCTTTCTACTCAGTTTTCACCCATGCCACCATTACTGCTGCACTGGCTGTTGGGTTCATTTGAGGAGGGTGGTTTGGGTGCAGCTGTGTGCTCGTGGTGGTCTGTGGAACCTCACCCCTGAGTCCGGGTGGGGTTACTGGGAGGTCTGGTCTCTGGGCCCTTCTCACAGCTCCCCTCACTGCTGCTAGATCATGACGAAGAGGGAAGACTTGGTGGTCGCCCCTGCAGGCATCACACTGAAAGAAGCAAATGAAATTCTGCAGCGCAGCAAGAAGGGTGAGTTCTAGAGATCGGAGGGTTCTGGAACCGAAGACCAGGGTTCTGATTTATGTACCTTCCCTACTCCCAGGAAAGTTACCCATTGTAAATGAAGATGATGAGCTGGTAGCCATCATTGCCCGGACAGACCTGAAGAAGAACCGGGATTACCCACTGGCCTCCAAAGACACCAAGAAGCAGCTGCTGTGCGGAGCGGCCATTGGCACTCATGAAGATGACAAGTATCGGCTGGATTTGCTAGCCCAGGCTGGTGTGGACGTAGTGGTTTTGGTAAGCACTTTGCACAGGCAGGGTGGGGTGGTAGGGACAGCTCTCATACCAGTACGTCTCACTGGGACTTTCTCCTGGTCCCAGGACTCTTCCCAAGGAAACTCCATCTTCCAGATCAACATGATCAAGTACATCAAGGAGAAATACCCCTCTCTCCAAGTTATTGGAGGCAATGGTGAGGCAAGACTGGGCACCAAAGGGTGTGGAGCAAGAGTTAGGGGAGCTAGGCTCACCCTCAGACCTTCACACAAGCCTTTTCCTGTTCTTCACTGTAGTGGTCACGGCTGCTCAGGCCAAGAACCTCATTGATGCTGGTGTAGATGCCCTGCGGGTGGGCATGGGCAGTGGCTCCATCTGCATCACCCAGGAAGGTAGGAAATGCTTTGGCGGGGCCCTCAGAGACCCTGGTGTCAGCAGGGCCCTTAGCCCCATATGGCCTGGAGCCAAGCGCTCCCGTGGGAACTATACTGAGTCCTCCAGTAGGGGCAGTCCCAGGGCCAAACAGGCCCCTGGAAGACAAGTTCATCATTCTTCACCTGCCACTTCCCCCCTGCCTAGCCTGGCCTCCTTGCTCCTGCTCTGCACCCTCTCTAAACTCTGGTCTGTTTGTTTTATTTAGTGGCTCCCAAGATCCCTCCAGACATAAAGTCCCACAGCCCCAAATGCCCTTCTACTGTCAAGGGTTGCTATAGTAAGTCCAGCCCGGCCCACTGGCCCGGCCCAGCTGCCCACTGCCCGGCTGCTTGGTTGACTGTAGCTGTAGCTCCCGGGGTTTGTGGTGCTGATGGGTGGGCAGGGCAAACTGAATGACAGACCATGGTTTTGGGGGCTGCTGGAGAACACAGCTCCTTCCTCTTCCTGGGGTGCTTGTAGGGCAGGACCCCCTTCCCAGGTAGGCCCTAGTTGGCCCACATTTCCTACAGTAGGCACAGCTCAAGGACCAACAAGCCCACTCTTCCTTCCACATGACCACTCCTCTGATCTTGCCTGAGCTGCCAACCATGCTGGGAGGAAGGGATAGGCCTCTGGATACTAACTGCACGGTGACCCCCTACCCCCACTTGATATCAGTTGGGTGGGGCTTCTCCCGGCTGCTGACTGCATGTGCCTGAAGCTGCCCTGGGCCACGCACACATGCACGTGCACATGCAGGGTTGAGTGGAGGCCGTCACAGATGTTTAAAACTGGTGAAGTCAGATGGGGCAGCAGCCATTCCAGACAGGAACCTCAGCTGGGCTGCAGTCCTGGCGCAGGTGTAGCAGAACGCTCATGGGTGCGGAGTTACGGCCCAGGGCCCCTTGCCTGTCCCCACTAACTCCACCCACCCATCTGTTCCTCCATTTCTCAACAGTGTTGGCCTGCGGGCGGCCCCAAGCAACAGCAGTGTACAAGGTGTCAGAATATGCACGGCGCTTCGGTGTTCCTGTTATTGCTGATGGAGGAATCCAAAATGTGGGCCATATTGCCAAAGCCTTGGCCCTTGGGGCCTCCACAGGTGAGGCCCAACACCCTCTGTCTGGTGGGATTCCTTCCCCAGTGCCACTCAGGGTCTGTTCCCATCACACCCATTTGTCCATAGTCATGATGGGCTCCCTCCTGGCTGCTACCACTGAGGCCCCTGGCGAGTACTTCTTCTCTGATGGGATCCGGCTAAAGAAATACCGTGGTATGGGTTCTCTTGATGCCATGGACAAGCACCTCAGCAGCCAGAACCGATATTTCAGGTGGGACAGGAAGGTCAGTTACCCTGTCCTGACAGCCTTCTACTGATAGGCTCATCCATGCTTTGAATTTGCCTGTTGCCTTACCTTTCCCTACAGTGAAGCTGATAAAATCAAAGTGGCCCAGGGGGTCTCTGGGGCTGTGCAGGACAAAGGGTCCATCCACAAATTTGTGCCATACCTGATCGCTGGCATCCAGCACTCCTGCCAGGACATTGGTGCCAAGAGTTTGACTCAAGTCCGGTAAGCCTGGGGGGCTGGGACATGGGTGGAGGAGCTAGTTGAGGGCCAGGTACCTACATCGGACATTTGCCCTTCTTCAGAGCCATGATGTATTCTGGAGAACTCAAGTTTGAGAAGAGAACATCCTCAGCTCAGGTGGAAGGAGGTGTTCACAGCCTCCATTCGTAAGTGACCCTTCTGTACCCATCCACCCTTGGGGCAGAGGTTTCTGCCGTGCCTCCTTCCTCCTGCCCCCACCTCAAAGCTGGTTGTTCTGCTTACAGGTATGAGAAGAGGCTTTTCTGAAAAGGGATACAGCATACCCCCTCAGTTTTTCAATAAAAGTTTGGAAAAAAAAAAAAAAAGTGATGCTCGATCTTTGAGGTCAACAGGCAGGTGTGGTGGCCACTATCAGATGCATACAACAAACACGACACTCATTTGTAGAGAAAGCCTCAGACCCTGAGGTCAGGCTATTCCTCAGATCTGGAAGGAGGTACTAATCCTAAATTCATAAAGTCCCTCCTGTGGCAGCTCACAAGGGAGTCTGGCCAGGTCTAGCCAGCCCTGGCTCACAAGGGTTCAGTCTCACATTGTGGCTGCTTAGGACAGGTCATGGAATAGTCCTTGGGGGCTTTGGACTGGCACCCACAGGGCCTCCTGCTTGGCCACAAGGACCAGGTTGAGACCCACATACATATTCTAACGTCAGTTAGAGGCTCTTGTGGAGAAAGCACTGAGGTCCTCTCAGAGGTGCATGTGAGCAAATACATTGATCTGCAGTTTGGAGCAGGTGCCTGGACTGCCTCCCGCCTCTGAGAAGCTAAGTAGTCTCCATAAAAAGGGGATCCCCTGGTTTCTTCACAAACACACCCACACACGAGCCCACTGAGCCAACAGCAGCTCCTGGCCAGCAACACACCTAATACAAAATGGGACAAGTGGATTAAATTATTAATTTGCTGGCAAGAAAGGCGTTACAGTGCCAAAGAGGAAGGGCTAATGAAAGCGCTGGAAACTCCTGCGCTCTGCAAAAAGTGCCAGGGCCCTCCTGGACAGGTCAGGTCAATTCCTGGCAGTTCATTCTGCAGCTCGTTCTAAGGATGTGAGCGCTGTCCCTCTGGGTGGAGGGATAAGAGCAGCTCCTGTTACTCGGCCTTCATGACACAGGAAGTTGAAAGTGGCACAGGCATTGGGCTGCAAAGAGAAAGCCTGCATCAGCTTGGCGAGGGCGAGGCCTGGATCCCGCTCCACGCTCCCGAGGGGCGGACCTTACCGTGTCCTGCACTTCCACGGCGATGCCCCGCTGCCTCAGGGCTTGCAGCACCTGGGGTTGCAGCCGTTCGGTCCGGTCTCCGGTGCCCACCACCACAATCTCTACGGAAAGATGGCGAGGGCTAGCCTCCGGCAGCTCTGTGCAGAGGCTGGGGCGGGTGGCTTTTGGCTTTCTAGGGCTGGAAGCACCTCAGCCCTCCCCTTCTCCAGTACCTATTCGGGGCTCCAGCAACCAGAAGAGAGAGAAGCTTTCTTCAGTGATGTCCCGGTGACTTCCTACCTGTGTTGGGAGGAGGCAAGTTAAACAAGCTCGCGCGGTTTCCCCCACAGAGCCGTTACCTGAGCCCCAAACGAGCAACGGAAAAGCCCAAGTTGGCGAGGGACAGAATCGGGGGGCAGGCCCGGGACTCCGGCCCTCCGCTGCCTCACTGCTCACGTTCCATTGCACCACCGACTGCGGGAGCAGAGCGCAGGGCCCAAGCACGCGATTTCCGTTGACCATGAAGCCGCGGCTGCTGTAGCTGTCGATATACATGATCTGCGGGGACTCGCGCTGCAGCAGAGAGATGCGCGTCCGCTCATACAGCTCGTCGTCCGCCGGCGTGAGCCGGTGCCCCCGCCGTGGGGCCCTGCGGAGGGGTGTGCTCAGGCTCTAACCTGCCAGGAGGAGCCGGGCCGGGATCAATGGCTGTGGGGGCGGGGACCGGGGACGCTGGGCCCGGACTCACCTCAGCAGCTCCGCAGGGGAACAGCGTAGCACGGCTCGCGCTCCGCACAGGCCGCGAAGCACGAACGCGGCGACCATGGCTGACCGGCGTGCCGGGATGTCCGCGCCGGGTCAGCGGGCTCGTGGCTGAACCTTCCGCAGCGCGCCCACAGCGCCCCCTAGGTGCCGGAGGGCACCGCGCAGGCCGGCTGCCCCAGCGCGGGATTTTGAGGGACCGGCCGGTGCCAATTGTCCCCGGAGGGCCCGTCCCCTAGCGGGGCTCCGGTGTCCGCACCTGCCGCCCGCCCCGCCCCGGGCCCCCGCAGACCGTCCTGGGGGAGCCAGACACCTGGTGGCGTGGCCGGCCTCAGAGAGCTGCCTGGGCCCCCGCCGCAACCTAGTTCCCGGCTCTCAGCCATTACGCAGGGCTCCCGGGGCCTGGGGCGGAGCGGCGGCGCACCTGGTCGAGTCCCGCACACCTGGCCAGGGCGTGGGGCCGGCCTCCAAACCCCTAATCCCAGGCTTTAGGGCGTCGGGTTCCCAGGGCGGGGCGGCAGGCTCAGGTTTCCCTTGCTCTTCCGCGAATCACGCCCCTACCCAACCGTCGCCCGCGCGACCGTTGGCGTCGCCGCCGCGCGTCTCCCGGGGCGTGGCTGCGCGTGGATTGGCTTGTCGGGAGCGCGTGGGGGCGTGGCTGAGTGGTTTCTCCTTAAAATGGCTCCGAGTCTGCGGCCCGAGCAAGCGGAAGGGGACGCCGCGGTGGGATGATTGTGGCTCTTCGGGTGGGATCGACCCGGCCGAACGGGACCAGCTATTGAACTAGACAGCGGCTGGAGCATCGCCCTGTCGTCGCTCACTATGCTCGCGGCCCGAGAATTCCCCGACCCCCCGCCCCCGTCTTGAGCCGAATCAGAGGGCCTACGGGCGCGACAGTCGCTGGTGCCCGCGCGGCTTTCGGGGATCTCCGCGCCCCCACCGTGTCGTGGCCTCAAGGGAACGTTGACGCGTCTGCTACCCACTGGGCCGGGAGGGAGGTTCGGCACGGCGGAGGACGTTCGCAATGGATTCCCAGGGGTCCCGTCGCCGCCATTGGGCACCCCCCCACCCACCCAGCGCTCCGGGCGCTGGCAGAGTCACGGGACGAAGGGCCCTGGGTATGGGGGTGTCCCCGAGGCGAGTGCGCGGGTTTACTTCCTCTCCGGCCCCACGGGGGAGCTTCTCTTTTGGCCGATCCCGAAGCCCTCCCCGCCACCGTCACCGCACGGGTGGCCTGGCTTCATGAGACCAACAGGAATAATCCCACCCTGCGGATTTAATCCGGATCGGGACCGGTCCCAGGGGAGGCCCCTACCAATCTTCCTATTGTTTAGGGGCCCAGGTGAGCGCCTCGTTCCCACTACATTCGGCTTTACCGCCCACTCCTAGGTCAGTCTTCTGGTACTGGGAATGGGGGGCGGGGTGGTTCCTGATCTGGCCCCAGGGTAAGGGACCACCATCCTCCCGGGGTTATCTCCCGCCCCCCCGCCCACGGCTGGACAGCGGGCAACGGAATCCCAAAAGCAGCTGTTGTCTCCAGAGCATTCCAGCTGCGCTTGGATTTCGTTCCCTGCTCTCCTGCCAGAGCAGCGTCCTGGCCTCGATGGGGTGGGCCAGTCCCTGACCCCCAGACATACTTTATTTGGGTCGCTCTGGTCTTCGCCCCTGTCTCAGGTGCGCTCTCAGGCTGGAAGTGGTGGGCATAGACGTCGGAGAGCGAGGTTTGTGGTCATCTCTGGAACCTGGAGTAACATTGACAAGGGAGGTTGGTCTCAGGGCCTTTGGACAGGGCTGCAATGGCGGTGAGTCCCACAGAACAGGGCCACCCCAGCCCGCAGCTCGCTATAGATAGCCTTTCACTTCCTGGGGAAAACCCACACCAACCGTCTTCGTGTACTGAGAGTAGCTGAAGTCCCCAGCTTGGCCTCCAGCCCCCAGCCCTGTTAGCAGCTGTCTCTGGGTCATGCGACTGCGGAATGGAAAGCGCTTTGGAATGACACGATCACTCCCGTTGAGTGGGCACCCAAGAAGCCATCGGGAATGTCGTGTCCGCCCAGTGCTCTTTCGGCGATCCCAGCAGGGGCCTTGCAGGCCTGCCCCAGAAAGGGGTCTTGCCAGACTTCCTGCCCTTAGGATCCCCCTCCTTTCTAAACTCTGGGCACTCTCACTGCTCCAGAGCAGTAATTATGGGTTTCCTGCACTCTGCTCTGTGCTGTGTCAGGTTCGATCTCCATTAAAGAAAATAGAGGAAAGGGGGATTTAGGTTACATCGAAGTGAAAACGAGCCCTCATGGGACAGAGGAAAGAGCTTTCTCTCTGTAGTGCAGTAGGATACTCCCAACTGAGAGCAGTCTTTTAGCTGGGTCTTATGGTCACATTGTTTATTTTGCCTACAATGGCTCGTTACCTAAACGGGGCCAGAGTACCCCTGATAATGTACACAAGGTTAAAAGAAAAGCATTAAAAACTGGTAATTCTGGAAAGTATTGTGATGGTTCTAATTCCACAAAAATCAAGAGAAGAAATTCTACCAGAGTACGTATTTATCGGGAGTAAAGACGACCCAAATCGCAAAGGAGGAAATGGTTGTAAATAACCTGAAGGCGCAGAACACAGATTCCTTCAAAACGAGATTTTTTTTAGGAGATCGTGAAAATGGCTTTAAAGTTAGGTGCCCTATTCCGCTGACAATTCACTTGGAACTTTTGACGTTTGATCAAGTGTCAAATGTGGGGAATGAAACGTTATCACAAATAGGTAAGATTTCGATGAGCTAAAGAGTCGGGGCTGGGTCCCACCCGGTAGCGAGGATCCTTTCCCTGGCTGCTAATGCCGGTGACGACGGCGGAACTCTAGGCCTAAGGCGGACCTCGCGGGGCCGGGGCCGGGCAGGGGGGCCACGCAGAGGGAGTGCTGGGGCCGAAGGTCGAAAGCGGCCGCCACGGTTCCCTGCTGCGCACCTGTCCGCTCAGGTATCTCCACCGGATATGCGCCCCAGCCAGTCCGCCCTCCCGGAAGCTCGGCCTCCAGACGCTTGGCTTCCGGTTCCGCCGGCTCCTTCCGGTCACCATGGCGACAGGGCGCCTGGGGGTCGGAGAAACGCTAGGGGCCCTCAACACGGCCCTGGGGCCTGGCGAGCCCGTGTGGTTTAAGGAGACGCGTGCCCGCCACCTGCGCGCCCGAGACTTCCTGGCGCCGCGGCCCGCGCTGCAAGCGCGCTTCGAGGACGGACAGGTGGGCGCCAGCGGGGCGGGGATGTGCGGCCAGGGGCAGCGTCGCAGCCCGCCTCACCGCCCTTCCTCCCGCAGGTGCCCGAGCATGTGGTCCGTGCGGTCGCCGGCTTGCAAGGCCCCGGCGTGGCCCCGGTGCTGCGCTGCGAGCCGACGCCCGCGGGTCTGGCACTCCAGCTGCAGCGGCCCGCCGTCTTCGAGCGCGTGCTCGGCGCGGTGACCGCCTATGCCGCGCCCGCCGCTCCCGCCGCGCCCGGCCCGCGCGTCGTCCTGCACTGCCCGGCGCTGCGCGGCGCCCTTGGCGCGCTCCGCTTGAGCCAGCTGCGCGCCGTGCTCGTGGCCGATCATTTGGCGCGAGCTCTGCGCGCTCATGGGTGAGCGCGCCGCGGGGCCAGAACCCGCCGGGCGGCGACCCGGGCCTAGAGCCGCTGCGGGAGGGAAGGGGGTGGAGCTGCGCCGGGCGCTCGGGCTGAGACGGCCGTCCTCGTTTCCCAGGGCGAGTGTGCGGCTGGTGCCCGCCGTGCGGGACCCGCACATGCGGACCTTCCTGCAGCAGCTGCGCGTGGACTGGCCTGCTGCCTCCGAGAAAGCCGCCACCGGAGCCCTGAGGAACCTCCCGCTGGCAGAGCTTAGCCCCGCCCCGGATGGAGGAGGCTTGCCCCCTGGCGTCCTGGGCACAGTGTGTCTGAAGGAGGTGATGCGAGAGCGGGGATGCGCAGCTGGCTATGACCCCAACGTGGACAAGTGTCTGGGTAGGAGCTGGAGCTTCGCAGGGTCGTTGGGAAGATGGGGACCTTGTGCTCCTGGCCAGCCTCAACGCCCCTGTGCTCTGTCTGCAGTGACCGAGGATCTGCTCTCCGTGCTGGCAGAGCTGCAGGCAGCTGTCCGCCACTGGCCTGGGGACGGCCCTCGGGGCCTGGTTAGTGACTGACGCCCGCCCTGTAGGCCTCTGGCAAGCTGCGCCCTGTGCCCGCCCGGTGACCGTCCTCCTACCCTGTAGGCCGCGGCCCCAGATGCTGATGGCTGCATGGCCCTACACGTGGTGAGCTGTGAGGAGGAGTTCCAGCAACAGAAGTTGGACTTGCTCTGGTGGAAGCTGGATGAGCAGGCTCCTCGCACACAGGTGGGTTGGGGATGCTGGAGCGCCCCCTCCCTCCACCAACCCAGGGCCCTTGCAAACCCATCAAGGGGCACAGGGGCGCATGAGTCCATAGGGAACACTTGGCCTTGAGAGAGACGTTAGGTGAGTGGGGACTTGCGCTCGTGTAGCATCCTGGGAAAAGGTGGGGTCTGTTGGCGCTTTCCAGAGAACACTGAACAGCTTGGGGGAGCTGGGCTGTGCGCTGAGGGGTGGGCTTGGGAGCGAGGCCCAGAGCTTGATGGCAAAAGGCTGGGGGGAGTCCAGGCACCAGGTTTAGGTTCTCTGAGAGATTTATTGCTGGCAGTGTCGCCACCTGGGCTAAGCGCCTGCTCTCTTCCTCACAGAAGCACCTGGTCTGTGGCCCAGTGAAAGCAGCTAGTGCCCTGACGGCCCCCGAGTACTATGAGTGAGTCAGGCTGGAAGGGAGGCTACAAGTCAGGGTCGTCAAGGTGGGGGGTACCGCCTATCCCTGGAGGTGCCCCCCCGCAGACCCTCGGCTCACTCTGCTCCTCATGCAGCCTCCGGCACGCCCAAGTGTGCAAGGCGGCAGCCCTGAAGCGTGGCAGGGAGCTCAGCCAAGGTGTGTGCGGGGGTGCTGGTTTGGTGGGGTGGGTCCTCCGCTTGTCTGCCGAGACCGACTGACTCAACTCCCACAGACCCAACCTGGACAGAGGTCTTCAGCGTTCTGTCTGCAGCCACCATCAAGTTTGAGATGCTCAGCACAGCTCCACAGAGTCAGGTAAGCCCGGGGGCCCGACGGGATCAGGGCTTGTGGAACAGACGGTGTCATGCCTGCAGCTGAGCCCCCGTTCCTCAGCTCCTCCTGGCCCTGGCCGACGGCAGCATTTCCACAAAGGGCACCAAGAGCGGCACCTTCGTCATGTATAACTGTGCCCGTCTTGCCACACTATTTGAGGGGTACAAGCACAGCACGGAACAAGGTCTGTACCCCGCTTTTCCACCTGTGAGCAGTCTCGATTTCTCACTGCTACAGGATGAGGTAAGTGTCGTCCTGGGTAGCTGGGCACCTGTAGGAGGTTGGGACCTCCCCTCGCAGCGCCCTTCTCCACCCCTACCCCCCCAGGGCGAGTGGCTGCTGCTCTTCAATGGCGTGCTCCCCTTCCCAGAGCTGCTGAGCCAGACCGCAGCCCTGGCGTGCGCAGCCCCAGGGCTCCACGCGACTGCGCGCACGGAGATGGTGAGGCAGAGAAGCCTGGCACAGACACTGCATGCTTGATGCTTTATTCTGGGTTGGGCACAAGATCAAAGAGACCGGCCAGTGACTCAGTCTCTGTCTCTAGATGTGCAAGTTCCTGGTTCAGCTCAGCATGGATTTCAGCTCATACTATAACCGCGTACACATCCTAGGGGTAAGTACACAGCACAGGGGGCGGGGGGGAGAGCTTTTAGGGGTGCAAGGGCAGCAAAGGAGGAGACCAGCAGGCCCCTTCTCTCCTCCAGGAGCCTCGACCACACCTGTTTGGTCAAATGTTTGCCCGTCTCCAGCTTCTGCGGGCTGTGCGTGAAGTGCTCCATGCTGGCCTAGCCACGCTGGGTCTCCCTCCACTGAACCACATCTAAGGCCACAGAGATCCCGATATCTAGGAATGTTTACAAAAGTCATCACCTGGAAAAAAGATACCAAGATCTTATTAGAGACGTGGAGCCAAAATAAATTGCTTCTGTTCTATACAAAGTCTGGTCCTGTTTGTAGGCAGTGGGGCGTGTTTTTGGTCGGCCTGAACCGCCCCAGACTCACCTCCAGCTCCTGCTCTCAAGTCAGGAACCCGCGGCTGCCGCCTCCCTTCACACCGGGCATGGGCACAGACGGTCACTCCTGTTCCACCCGTCTGCGAGCAGGTCCCATGCCCGGCACGCCGGCCACCGCGGGACACCTTAATCATACCAGTTGTAAACCTCAAGCCCTTGGCCCGCAAGAGCACAGCGGTGGCCAAACTCAGGGCTTACAGGCCAGCAGTCCATGTCTGCGACGTCTGGGACATGGTACACGGTACTGTTCATGAAGGTGGGCTCACCATGCCCCAGACGCCAGAAGGTCAGCCGCTGGTCGATGGAGGCGGAGACCATGAGGCTTGGGCTCAGGATCTTGAGACCTGTCACGTGGGCAGCGTGTGCACAGGGGATGGAGTATTCCTCTAGCACATGCAGCTGGGGCACCAGCTCAGCAACCCCCACGGCCTCCTCTAGCTCCGGTGTCTCCACAGCCAGCACAAAGACATGAAGGGAGCCATCCTCACTGCCACTGGCCACGAGATGGCCCTCACGTATGGGCAAGGTGTGCAGGCTGTTGACACCACAGCTGTGAGCCTGGAGGGTCAGGCAGGGGGTCCCCAGCCCTAAAGGAAGAAGATGGTTGTCAGGGCCCAGCCTGCCGCACGGGTGAAGGGCAGTGGGAGGTGGGGAGGGACAGCCATGGCTGCACACCGGCTACTCACGGTGGGGAAGCCCAGGGTCTGCTGGAGGCTCCAGAGTGGTGGAGCCGTGGTCCAGCACGGCAGTGAGATCCCAAAAGGCCAAGTTGCCATCAGTGGCGGCGCTGCATAGGAAAAGCCTCCTGGGGGCCAGGGACAGGCAGCTGGGTCAGCGAGGCGGGCAGAGAGCAACAGGGGACACCCCTCCCCCACCGCCTGCACCCACATAAGCCCGCCAGGCAGCCCCTCTCACCGTCGCTGGTTGGGCGCCTCGTGGGTAAAGGAATGGACCTTGAGGACACACCGCTTATGGTGGAAGGTTTCAGCCAGGAGCTGCAGCCGCCGCCCCGAGTCCTGCAAAAGGAAGAGCCTGGGGGGCGGAGGGTGGCCCAGCTCAGAGCCCATTCCTGACACCTTCCAACCCTCCTCTTGACCCAAGGGCCTCCGCTCTCACCTCACTGCGCCATCACTGCAGGCTGCAGCCACAAGGGGGCCAAGGCCAGGCCGGTCGAGTTCACACACAGCTAGGGACATGTACCTGCAGAGACAACACCCGCCTGCCATTAGGGGAGGCCTGGGAACAGCGGCAAGGGGCCTGCCCTTTGGGCCACCACTCTGTGCTCCCACCTCCCAGTGCGCACATCACCTGGTCTCCGGGTCCACCTTGACCATCCGGTGCCGACTGCGCTGGCGGTCCCAGTACTCATCCAGCCGGTGGGACGAAAGGTGCATGACGTGGCAGGCAAGACGGCTTGGGGTGCCAGGGTCTGGGGTGACCATGAGGCTGAAGCAGTGCATCTCAGCCCGGCCCCCGGCAGACACCACATGAGCAGTCAGGCCTGGTCGAGGATCCTGAGGGCCACCCGGGGTACCGACGCCCCACACAGCCAGGGCACGCACAGACGAGATATGATTACACACTGCTGTAAGTGCGTGGGCTGAGCCAGTGACGGTGGGGAGTGCCAGGACACAGACAGTAGTGTCCTCACTGCACGTAATCACGATGTCGGTCAGGCCCGGTCCCTCGCTGCCAGGCTCCAGGTAGTCCGGCTGCATGAAGCCGGGCACCTCAAACTCGGGCCCCAGAGTGATGGTGCCCACACGCTTCACACAAGTGATCTCACGGCCGTGCAGGCTCTCTCGGAGAATCACGTGCGGCCGGGTGCAGCCACCCAGAGCCCGGTAGAGCATGACGTCCCCGTCCTTGAGGTAGGCAAAGGCCATAGCCGCCTCGGTATCAGAGAAGGCCCAGGAGCGGTGCCCTCCACCACAGTTGACGATGTGCAGCTTTTCGTGTGACCGGGGACTCCACACCACAAACTCATTGGCGTGGAAACCCAGGATGACCATACTCCCGTCGGCCATCATGCGGAGCCCAGCCACCCAGTTCATGCCTCGACAGGACTTCTGCCTCAGGACAGGCTGCAGCTGGCCACCTCGCACAAAGAGCTGGTAGTAGGCGCCATCGCGCCCTGTGGTATACACGTAGCCACCATGGCAGGTGACTGATGTCACACCCTGCTTCCCATGCAGAGAAGGGAGGGTGGACACAGGGCCCCACTCGGTGGAGGCAGTCTCATCCCCATCACTGCCACTACCTGCTCCAAGTGCTCCAGCGATAGCTCCCACCTTGCCGCCAACCCCAAGATCCTTGAGCAGGGCCGGTCTGGAGGGAAACAGCAACACAGAACCCCGGCGGTCGCCACACACTAGGAAGTCACCAGGGGGTAAGAAGGCACTGCATGTGTGCCATCTCTGCTTGCTGGGAGGCAGCAGGTACCGGCAACGTTCCTTTACAAAGATGGCTTTGCCAGAGGGCGCAGCTGAGATTTCCAGGCAAGCCACCACACCACCAGGGCCCGATGCCAGCAACAGGAGTTCCTCGAAGCCACGCAGGGCCCAGCTCAGACTATGCACTTTCCCACGGAACAGAGTCAAGTCCACAACTGCAGTTGGAGTGTTGATGGGGACCACCTTGACACGACCCTCCCCATTGGCCAAGGCACAAAGTCCAAAACCTTCAGGACCAGGGGCTGCCTCCAGGAGGCAGTAGGACTGGAAGCGCTTGTCCTCCAGCAGCTGCTCCCAGCACTTGACCTCAAGGTCGTAGAGATACAGGGCTCCTGTATCAGTCACTGCCAGTAGTCGCCAGGAGCCAGCCAGCGTCACAGCCTTGAGGGTACCTGGCCGGCTACGGGACTTGAAGCAGAGAGCTGAGACCCCTGAACCCGGGTACCCACGCCCTACCAGGTGCCATAGACGGATGCCTGAGTCATCACCCCCGGTGACCACCCAGGCTTGCCTCTCATGGGCAGCTACAGCCCGGATCCCACGACCCTGGTGGCCCCGAAAGGCCTGAAGGATCTCCCCTTCGTGGCTCCATACCAAGCAGACACAGTCCTCTCCTGCACTGATAAGGTAATTCTCTAGAAGCTTGACCTGCCACACACGGGCGCTGTGTCCAAAGCAGTGCCCAATATTCTGTACCCGACCCCCAGGCACCCGCAGGTCACCCACCTTCCAGATGCGGACACTTCGGTCTTCTGAAGCTGTGGCCAACAAGCCCTTGCTTTCCAGGTACGACATGCTGAAGATGACACCCACATGCCCACTGACTCGTCGGTCAGGGGCCACAGGCTTATTATCTATTAAAGCAGCTGCTGGATACCAGACAAGGAGCTGATTGGAAACTGCACCTGCCACTATGGTCAGCTCCTTCCAGGTATCTCCGATCAGACAGGCTGAGGAGAGGGTACACCTGTCTGTGCAGGGCACGTCCTGCAGCATGCACCCTACCACAGGGTCGTACAGCACTACTGAGTTATGGCCCAGGGCCAAGGCCACGTTGCCCTCAAGCCAACGTGCATCCCAGATCCAGTCAGACATGTTCCACAGGCCAGAGCGCCAGAGCTCCCGGAAGCGGCCCTGTCCCCAGCTAACTTTCACAATTCGGAGTCCCTTGCTGCCAAACACAGCCACCATAGCCTCCAAGTCAAGGTCTCCATTTGGTTCTGGTCGTACTCGGAACCCATGGATAAGATAGTGGCCAAGCAGGTTCTGCACACGCTTCATCATCCGCAGGTGGCCACCAAAATCCAGGCTGTACACCAGGACATCCGGCCCCTCACCTAGACAAAAGCACAGAGTCACATCAGAACCTCACCCAATGGGGCATCCGGGTGGCTCAGTCAGTGTGCATCCACCTTCGGCTTGGGTCCTGATCCCAGGGTGCTGGGACTGAGCCCATAGGGTTCCCTGCTCAATAAGAAGCGCACGTGTCCCTCTCTCTCTGCCCCTCCTCCCTCTGCCTGTGCTTTCTCTTGCAAATGAATAAATAAAAGCTTTTTTTTTTTTTAAGATTTTATTTATTTATTTGCAAGAGAAAGCACAGGCAGAGGGAGGAGGCACAGAGAGAGAGGGGGAAGCAGGCTCCTGGCTGAGCAGAGCGCCTGACGCGGCCTTGGTCCCAGGACCCTGAGCTCACGACCTGAGCCGAAGGCAGAGGCTTAACCCACTGAGCCACCCAGCTGCCCCAATAAATAAAATCTTAAAAAAAAAAAAAAAAAAAAAAAAAAGAACCTCACTCTGCCAAACCATGAAGAGATGGGAGCAGGAAAAACTCAGGCACATAGTATAGCCTGTGAATGCATTAGAACACACAATCTTGCTAGCTTGAACCCAGGAAAATCCTTGGCTTCGGCCTCAGCTGGACTTCAGTGTTGACTTTCCGACACCTACCAGGGGCTCCAGACACTCAGTTAAACCTGGCTTCCTCAAATACTGCCTCTGCCTCATCCCACCTGACTTCTCATGCTTCCTGCAGGAACTCTCGAAGCCTCTGTCCCAAACCTGCAGCCGCATCTACCTCTACACATAGTCTTCCCACTCTCCCTCCCCGAGAAAGAAAAGGCTGTTCCCCAAAGGTGATCCTCCCACCTTGGGGCCACAGCAGAACCCCTCTGGATTTCCAAGAACTTCTTCCTTGCGGCTCAGATGTGAGCATGTTCAACACCGACAGGAAAAACCAGGAGAGGTGGTCCCCACTTTGGCAGCCACGACTCCCATGACCCTTAGCTGCCTTCTGGCTGCCCTGTGGGCCCCTCCCACTCTACTCGCTTACCTTCAAGCTCTCTCAATGCTCCTCACTCCACTGATTGCTCCACTGACCACTACCACCCTCTATCCAGCCCCATCCCCAAACCAAGAAGCTCACCGCTTATTCCGCTCAACTTCCCACATCTTCTCATATTCTCAGTTGCCTAGTCCCATGTGCTCATTTTCTAAAGGTTTTTCAAATCCTCCCCCACCACAGTGACTTTGG